TATATATATATATAAAACTTTGAAGGGAAGCATATTTAGGTCAGTGTCACTGCACCTGCTTCAAAAGTGCAAGGGCCTGAGGTCTGGAGTTTGATCCCTGGTACTGCAAACAAAAAAAAACAACAAAACTTTTAAATGACAACAAACCTGTTAAAAAATGTAGGCTTAAGGGGAAGGAGGGGGAAGTAACAAGTACTAAGATGAGATATGTATATGTCCCAGTGGCCCATGATGAGTGTAGTTATTATGTGTCACAAATATGTACTATACAACTAAAAAAAGCGGGGGGCAAAACAAAGTAAGATGGTATGCCCTCTAAAGTGTAAAGGCTTTATACTTTTATAGGGTATATCAGAATTGAAAAACACGACATCAATCTACCATCTGAGGATTTTGTTAGTAATACTTTAAATTTTTACAATGGTCAAATATGTTAAAGATTTATGGAAATGGAAATTAAGATGAATTATTTAAAATAATTTTTTGGTAAAAGCAGAAAAAAGACTATACATTAAACATTTGACTATAAATACTGAGGTACTTCGGTTCACAAAATTAATTCTTTTCACATTTCTGGTTGCAAATCGAATTGGACAAGATTGAATTTGCTTTGGTTCTCATGAATAAAGGCACTGCTCTGTAGAGAGATTTTTAAAAAATCAAGGGGAAGTAATTTCCAATGGCTTCATCTTTGTCACAACAGCAACATGAACTCCACTGGCTCTCCTGCTGCACTCAATCCCCCAACAAGCTCATCTATTAATAACTGTAAACGAAACCGCCACAGATTGGTTATCTACCCTTTCAGTCCCAAAGTGTCCTGAGTATCAGATCAACCTCAAATTCAACAGACATAAAACTGGACTCAACTTTCCCGCAAATAAGATTAGGCCATAACCCTCAGCCATCAGAGGATTTCTTAGACTCATTCATAACTGCTTTCATGTATGACGTTATTGGTTTTATTCTTCTCCTCTAAGATGTCCCGTCTAGCTTGCTCATTTTAAGGACCATCACCTTAGAACAGGTGATGTTTGAGGCCTGCAGTTTCATCTCTCTTCCTCCTCCTGGCCAACTTGATGCCTGAAAGTTCAAACTCTTCTTACGTGCTCAGTTTTTTTAGCCTTTGACACAAACTTGGCAGCACTTGACCACTACAGATTCAGAGTTCAGGTGTGCTTCTCACTTACCTTCATTTTAAAGGAAAGCAAACACATACTGTCAAGCAGCTGGACTACAGAAAATCACAAGTCAACTCTGAAAAGTGACCCCTTAAGTTCACATTTGACACCAAGCCAAGCTCCTTTAAACTGCCTTGGAATCTGAAGTCCTATTTCTTGTCCTGTTTTAGGACCTGTGCCCAGGATTATAATATGAGTTAGAGAATTAGGGAGAAATGTTCAGCTACATTTTGATCTTTTGGGAAGAGGGGACTTAACTCGAGATCCTCCTCCCTTAGCTTCCTGGGTCTTACGTGTGTATCACCATGCCTAGCTTAAGTATTAACAATGTTCTTGGTAATCTGTGAGACCCCTCTATACATTTCCACACATCAGAAGAACACTTATGTCTAACCACATGCTCACCTATGGTACTTGGCTTAAAAATATGGTCAGTGAAACTGGGTGTGGTGGCTCACACTTGTAATTGCAATACTGGGGAGGCTGAGGCAGAAGGACTGTTGTGAGTTCAAGACCAGCCTGGGCTGCACAGTGAGTCCACAGCCAGCCTAAACTACACAGTAAGACTCTGGCTCAAAAAACAAAACAACAACAGAAAAAGAGGGCATCCCTAACCACCTGGTCTTTAACAGTCACAGAACAGCTCTCCACATTGTGAGGGCAACAGTCCACAATCTATACATTCTTAGGGTACTCTGCATAAGCCAGGAGTACACAGTACTCTGCTGCAAATAGCTGCACTGCTCTTCTGTGCCTGTTACAAGATGGAAAGTGAAGATGCTGTGACAGTGGCTTATACTTGTCTGTACCCCAGAAAGCAAATCTGGCAAGGAACATGTGCTTTAGAAACTTTTTACTGATATAATTGTGCAGTCTCTACCACCAGAAGGGTTTAAACAGAGACTGAATATGCAGTTAAAAGGGATTCATAAAGAGCATTGAGCCGGGAGTGGTGGTGCACACCTGTAATCCCAGCATTCGGGAGGCTGAGGCAGGAGGATCACTGTGAGTTCAAGACCAGCCTGGGCTACATACTGAGTTCCAGATCAGTCTCAACTACATAGTGAGAACCTGTCTCAAAAAACAAATGAAACAAACAAACACAAAGAGCATTCAAATATTGAGGGGGAAGAGGATAAAACTTATTTAAAAAACAAATATTAAGTGAGACAGGAATGATCATTAAAGTCTCTTCTAATTATGATAATCGATAACATTTCTGTGAATACTATCAAGACCACACTTACACATGTGGTATAATCTCTACATTTTATACAATCTGAGAACTATAGATGGAGAAGCAAAAAGAAAAAAAATTTTTTTTTGATATAGGCTTTAGGCAGAAACAAAAAAAGATATTTGCTTGGAGATGCCCAGTGTTGCTTATCTAGTCAACAAATGGCTTCCATCAAAAGTGTTTATGGGGCAGGGAGGCTCCCAGGAAGATCTTTTCGAATTTTTTTTTTGGGGGGGTGTTTTGAGACAAATCTTACTATGTAGTTCTGGCTGACCTTGGACTTACTTATAGTCCAGGTTGGCCTTAACCGCCCATCAATCCTGCCTCAGCCTCCCGGTGATGGGTTTACAGAGCGATCGGTGCCTGGCCCTAAGACTTTTCTGAATCTTAATTTTTTTTTCTTTTTAAAAAGATTTTTTGAATACTTTCACCTAAACCCTGAAAGCTTTTATTATCCCTTAATTTATAGAATCTGTACCATTAATTCTCACTCACAAGTATTTCTTACTGAGGCACTGCGCTGCCAAAACCGGGGTGTGGGGACTTGTGGGTTGGAGAGGGGATCTCTGGTCCAGTTAGTATTCTATATATGGCCATGTGATATAGTATGATCCAGAACAAAAGAAATTAAAATTTGTATTTAAATTTCTGAGTCAGCATCATATTTTCCTACACTATACTGCAGGGAAAGAGGAATCAATGGTGTGTTGAATAAAGTTCCCAGAAAGGTGGTTTTATCAGGTGACAATGGGGCAATGCAGGTAGAACTGAGGGACCCTCCCTGATTGCTTATCATAGCCTCTCCCTTATCGGACAGAAAGTCTCTAATCTTACTGTTACTGTAATTTTTCAGTTCACCCCAAGGTCTTGAAGAAGAGATTCCCTGGTTTAAGTACAAAATATGAATTGTAATTTTGATTAAACATTTAAAAGTTAAAAATCAAGAGAAAATCTCATAACATGAAATTATAAATATGGAAGAAATTCTATTGCAAAATACCATACTTTACTAGGTATTAGTGTGTATTCTTCCTCTTATACTTGCAGAGCTCATTAGCTTAGTGCAGTACTATTCAATGGCCTACAAAGGGCAGAAAGATGTTTTTGAAATAGTCTACATGAAGTTTATAAGGACAGAGAAACAGTAAGAAAAAGTTCACTACAAACAAAACCAGAAGAAACACTGTGATACCTTAGTAAAGCTTTTATTTTTAAGTTTTTTTTTGGAATAGGGTCTTGCTATGTAGTTCAGGCTGGCCTTGAAATCACTGGGTATCCTCCTGCCTCATCCTCTGGAATGCTAGTTTATAAGTATGTGCCACCACCACACCTGCTTAAGGCACTTAAAGAATTCCCAATCTTTCCCATTTTCTTTCTCCACAAAGGGACAAAAATGAATCAAGGTTTATTACTGCCCAGGACACAGTATTGGTTCAGAGGTCTAAATATCTGCTTCAGGTTTTCAATTCACTTCTTCAGTTCAGAACTTTGATTTTAAATGAACATCGTGGAGAATTATAAAACTACCAAAATATTTCACAACAAATGCCAGGCAGGTTGATCTTATATGGGAAACTCCGTTTTAAATCTGAACATCTCATTATGTGCTGCAAACTGGAGCAGTAGCACCAATGAAGTAAAATTAGTCATATAAGGTATTATCTGTTGTAGTGATTTGTAGTCCTAAGTGACCCTGCTTTGAACCCTTAAGAGATTTTCAAGGGCCACTGCAAGGATGACAGTAATAGATTCAAAACACTCATTACAAGATCTGACTGTCAATAAATGTGAATTATTTCTTAGTATTTCCATAAATAGGGAGAGAGCTTCAAAAGTAGTTCTGAAGCCCATACAGCAAAGTAGCAAAAGAATGGTCACAGGCAACCGTACTTTTACCACCTTTAATTTTCTAGTGGTCCATTATATCATTTGGATCTGCACCGTGGAATAACAGTAGCCAATAGCTACAGGTGGCTACTGAGCATTTGAACTGTGGTTAGAATTGAGACGTGTTGTAGAATTGAGATGTGAAGGGTAAAATGCACATCAGATTTGGACAACAAAATCAAAGATTCAAGGAGGTTAAAGTATAAAAATAAAATACGAAAAAAACACAAAGATTTGTAAGACTTCATAGGAAAAAATGTATACAGTGTTACGTTTTTCAAATATTTGGCTCTGAGTTGAAATAGTATTTTGGAAATGCTGGGCTAAATGAACACATAGTTCATGGGTTTTTTCCCACTTTTTAAATGCGGAGATTCAAAAGTACTTAAGTGGCTCAAATTATTCGACAGAGGTGAAGTAGAACCTTGTTAGTCATAACCTGGCATGGCGGCACCTGGGCGCTTGTTTAAAAATGCATTCTCAGGTTCAGACCTACAGGATCAGGATCTGCATCAGCAGACGGTTCTGAGACAACTCTTTACGAATTGCTCCAGAACATTCCAGGGTACACGGTTTATGAAGAGGGCAAATCTGGTCCTGCGGCCATATAAATGCGAATAGCCTTGGTTTAGGTAGCTGCTTATCGAAAACAGGAAGCCAAAGGGGGAGAAAACCATTACAGAGAAGTAATGGAGAAAGATAAGGAAACTCAATAAGCACAAACAGAAGCTGTGGGAAAAATTAAACCAAGGGGACAGACCTTTGCTTCCATAAATGTGAAAGGAGAGGGAAACGGCGATTAAACCTGCAATCGACCCTGCTAGAAGAACAGAAAACGCCCGTCAAAATATAGTCTCATCCGCCCCTCTGTGGCCTCAGCCAGGCTAGGCCTGAGCCCGAGCGGGTCTCAGGTTGTCGTGGACGCGAACCACCCCCTCCCCAGGACTACATAGTTCTTCGGGGCGTCTCTCCATCTTTCGCCCTAAGTCCCGTTCCCTGATAAGAGACAAGGAACTCCCCAAGGCTCACCTGCCTGTTAGCAACCCCAACGCCCAGAGACTTCGCCACCGCCACCTTCCAGTCCTTCCGCGGAGAACCCGCCCCCTCGGGCCCAGGGGATGCTCCCATTGGTCAGGGTGCTCGTCACTCCTGCAGGGCAGGGTCGGTCTCTGAAAGGCTGTAGAGGACGCCATAGCAACCGTAGTCAGAACTACAATTCCCGTCATGCTCCGCTCGGGGGTGGAAACGTACCTAGTTGGAGTCGCCCAAAATGGGTCCCGTTTTATGCAAATTTGAGTTAAAGACCACACCCTTCCTCATTCCAAACGGACCCTGAACACGTTCCTCGGTCTGTGCCCCGCCTTCCTTTTCGTCTTCACGTTATTCTCTCCCTTAAAACCTTCTGCAATTTAAATACATCCTAGCTACGCTCCTGCAGAGCAGATGCATCGAACCATGGAACAAAAAACCTGGCAAAGCCCCAGACTAGAAACCTCTGGTTAAGCTTTCTTGGTAAGCAGAATAGAAGAGGCGGGAAAGTGTCTCCTTTGAGCCTGCTGATTGGTTTTCCTGGCTGTCACTCCGTACTCCTCCATTTTTTTTCCTGGCTCTCCGCCTTTCTTTTCCTTGGGGGGCGGGGCTAGCGGTAAGGGGCGGTGAGGAGGTGTGGTTCCTTTCTTACGATTGGTAGACGGTTGTCCCCACTCCTCTGTGGGCGGAGACAGGCTGGTTGGGGGCGGGGGAGGCCGCAGAGGGAGATGCGGAGATAGGCGGGAGTGAGGGAACGAGGGAGGGAGCGAAGGAGGTAGAGAGGACTGGAGGAGCGCGGGGTGGGATCGCAGCTTGGTTGCTCCGTAGTACGGCGGCTCGCGAGGGAGAATCCCTAGCAGGCTCCGGAACGGGCAGAGGCGGGCGGAGGGCAGGCGGGGATGGTGTGCGGAGCTGCGGTTCCTGCGCCTCTCCCCGCGGCATGAGCGGCTCTGATTTATGCTTGGGGTGTCGGCGCGGTCCCGCGCGGAGATGAGGTGAGGAGC